TTTTATAAGGGAGGGATTGGGAAAGGGAGAGCATTTATGACGAGGGAAAGGTTCGTACTCAGAGTACTACTAGGACATAGATTAGACTAGGATTAGATATTATTAGCCACTGCGGTCATCTCAGTGCGCTTCCAGAGATCTTTTTTGCCACGCACCATCCGGCTATGGAATGTGCTCTCCCCTCCACGGTGTTTCCCGAGCGCTATGACATGTCCTTCTTCAAACGAGGCTTATGGAGAGTATTAAGCGGTAGGCAGCGGCTTGGCTCTGCCCCTGGCATTGCTGAAGTCCATGAGCGACGGTAACCACTCACCATCAGGTGGGCCGTAGGCTAGTCTGCCTACAAGGGCAATAAAAAAAAAAAGATATGGCTTTATAATAATAGTTTATGCGTACGCCTGAAACCGTAGTAAATATAGCTTTGATATGCAAATAAGTAAGTACCAAGGTAACATGAGCTTAAATGTCTTTACCAGTACATAACTAATTAAAAAAAAATGTTTATTAAAACAGCCTGTATTTTGATTATTATCTCGGCATTTATATCGCAATACATTTGTTGTTATTATAATTACATCTAGTGAAATAGTTGAATAGAAATAATATAATCGTGTGAATTTTATTCTAGGTAAAAAAAAAATGATTTGGTTTTGTTTCGTTTAGAAATTGGAGAAACTTCACACAGTCTGCTGAATATGTTATTTCTTGTTTATTGCAAAAGTAAAGCCATAATATTCGTTGTAATTACAACACTTAAAGATTTCGTAAGAAAATGCTTAGTAGATTCGGAACTAAGACGGATATTTAAAACTGGTGGTAGGACCTCTTGTGAGTCCGCGCGGGTGGGTACCACTACCCTGCGTATTTCTGCCATGAAGCAGTAATGCGTTTCGGTTTGAAGGGTGGGGCAGCCGTTGTAACTATACTTGAGACCTTAGAACTTGTATCTCAAGGTGGGTGGCGCATTTACGTTGTGGATGTCTATGGGCTCCAGTAACCACTTAACACCAGGTGGGCTGTGAGCTCGTCCACCCATCTAAGCAATAAAAAAACAAAAAGCATAATTATAAAAATTGGGTTATACATTTATAAAAAATTTATGCAAAAAAATCTTTATAAAATGAATGATGTACTTAAAGATTTCATATGAAAAATAGACAATTATAAATGATATATTTAAAAGGATCAATAAAATGTTAAGGTTATAAATAACTGTCTGCGTTCAATGAACGTCTACTTGAAAATTTCGATACACGACCATTTATATCCGTATATGTAAAAGACAGGGATAGAGAGAAGGAGGGTGAAAGAGAAAATTGCATGAGAGGGGCCGTTTTTGCCTCACAACCAACTATTGGATTAAGTATTGTACCAAATATCACTACACAATTTTTTAACATGGGTTGGGTATTGTAAATGTACTTTTTTTTATTGCTTATATGGGTGGATGAGCTCACGGCTCACCTAATGGTGTGTTGTGGCAGAGCCAAGCTGCCTATCGTTAAGGGGTTCTTCGTAAACTCAGATTTATGAAGGATAACAAATATTATATAAAAGCTAGAAGCTAGAGTATCACATCACTCTATCTTCCGGTCAAAAGAATTCACTGGAAAACGGCAGCAGCCCTCCACCGCACCAAAATAACATTTTTACAATTTTTGTGTTTGTCTGTCTGTCTGTTTGTTCCGGCTAATCTCTGGAACGGCTGGGCCGATTTTGACGAGACTTTCACTGATAGGTAGCTGATGACGAAAGAAGGAACTTAGGCTCCTTTTTTTAGAGTAGCTTCGTCCCACACCGTCACCCGCCGTACGATAACAACCACGGTCAACATGGCGGGACTCAGCTATCAATAATAAAATTTAATGTTTCCGTCATAATATGTATTTCGCGATAGTTACATCGAAGACTATTCGAGATTTACCAGAAAAAAAAAAACATTTAGCTCAAGAATACATTATCATTAGTATCACATGAAGAAAAAAAAAACACAAACGTATTACAACAAAAATCTTACATAATTAAAGAATAAAAATAATTAGTTAATAAATATTTCATCTTTTCAAAATCGCTAGACTGTGACTGCAACTTTTTTTTTAAATTTTAATCTTTTTAAATACCTATTCCATTGTGTAGAAAACGTATTCTGTGTCTTGCGGTGACGTAAGCCGGTAGTGAACGATTTAAAACGACGACGCTCTAATTAATAGTACAATTTTATTTTTAAAGTAAATTTTAGCAATTGAATCCGGTTTGAAGGGCATTATGAACGGAATTGGTAAACGTTGTGTTCACACGTAAATTTCAAATGTTATTTTCGGTTTTTTTTTTAAAACCCGTTTTGTTATTTTTAATTTAATTTTGTACAATTAGAATAGAATAAACGATTTTGATTGCTCGCAAGGGACTGTTGAAATTTTGATTCCTCCTTCTTCCTTCTTATATCGACAGTTCTTATTCGTCATCATTGACTATCGATTTTATTATTCAATGCGGACGATTGTTTTTTTGAACAACAACAGTCCGTTGTCTTGTCTTTTCTTTTCTTGGAAAAGAGAAAAGGAAACTTGAAGCAAAGAGTGAAGAGAATCTTAAATGCGTATTTGTGGCGGGTAGCCATCATACAACACAGGATATTTGACAGATGAATCTGAATCTCGCTTACGACATTTTCAAGATAAGCTTGCATATATACAAGTTCCGAACAACAACATTCGCCAGCTTAAGTCATCTCGGATCCTCCCGATCCACTAACGGTGCTTTTAGGTACCACAAGCACCGGTCACCGTCCTCGCCCAACCCATCGCTTGCGACGAAGGGCTGGGCGAGTAAATTAACCCACAGACACAGCCCACTGAGTTTCTCGTCGGATCTTCTCAGTGGGTCGCGATTTCGATCCGGTGGTAGGTTCTGCGAAGCACGGCTCTTGCTAGGGTTCGTGTTAGCAACATCGTCAGGTTTGAGCCCCGTAAGCTCACCCACTAGCCCGGCGACGCTGACATGGTCGCCCTAGACCATCAGCTTGGGTATCAAAAAAAAAAACACCATTCGGACCGTCGCATCGCAGCGTCGATCTACCGAGACATATCACCCGCTCGGTGGAAGATCTTCCCTTTCGTCGCTATATCTACAATATTAAAACCGTTATCAAACTGTAAGACAATTTGAATATGCATATAATATTTAATTTGCATCGCTCAAATACAACCGGGCCTCTAATCCGTATACTTTAATTGGGGCCATCAGCGAAAAAGTGGCCTAACCCACAATCATTTATATTCAAGCTTATATGACGTATATTAGAATTTATTTAAAATATAATAAATTTTCATGCAAAACCGGCCTATCCATAGTTTCACCCATAGATAACAGACAGCTTTGTAAACATTATTTTTGCGTGTATTGGTTTTTTTCCCCCTTAAAGTTCAAATTCATAAAAATTTAAACCTAATTGGCTCCATAGTAACTATGGTAAGCTTATGCCACTTTTGCGCTGACGCCCTCAATTTTAAGCACACCGATCAACAATGATAGCGCTAATAGGCGGACTAGTAGTGGCTGCCACCGCTCGTGAACATCAAAATAAACTCGTTCCCAGTAACTTCGAAACAAATTATTTTAAGTAAATTTTAAATCTAACCACTTCTTCCATAATTATGTTGTTATGTAGTCGTGGCTTATAATTGTGTTAGCATTTAACCTGAATTTGTAGTCTTTTATTTTTAATGTTGACGTATAAACACGCTTTATTATTTAATGACTCTGAGAATATAAAGGTTATAATTCTGATTAAATAACGAATAAGTAATTACTTCAATTTTCTTGAAATATGTATTATTCTACTATATATAATAATATTATAATATATATTTAAAATTCTGGTCGTTAAATTCTTTGTTGTCGGAAATTGAGTTGGTAGTCTTCGTAAAGAACAAAATAAAAAAATACGTATCGCGGATTTTAATGAAATTAGAAAAAAAATATTGCACCTGTCGGACGATGGCCCCGCGTTAAATAACTGAAAAGACGAGTTGTTTGAAATTCTCAACAGCACGTCAATAATTTTGATCTACATTTCATTGACGCTACAATGCAATATCTTTGAATATATGAAATATCAAAGATGTTTCGGTGGGTCATTCCCAAATAAAAATTTGCAATAGTGGCGCAACAATATAAAATAATAAATTGATTACTCAGTATCGAATCTAGATTTGTAATAGCTATGTTGACGAGGCTTTAAACATTTTAACTTGGTCTTTACCTACACGCTTGGATATGTTTAGGCTTAATTATTTAAATAATAATTAACTACTTATACTGCTCTTGGTAAATAAGTCAAATATATTTCATATTATATCTATTTATTGTATGTATGTCTTTTCTATAATAATGTATTGTCTATAGTACACCACAAAATAGCTGCTTAATTTTTATATTTTCCAGAATTTCTATAAATGAAACCCTTGTCTGGAAGAGATCGCTTTTAACAATAAGACCGCCTATGGTACAAACGTATCTGCCTTTTGACTGTATTTGAATCTAAATTATTCTGTTTTGGTGTGCAATAAAGTATATTCTCTCTCTCTCTCTCTCTCTCTCTTCTTGGGTTATAGATGGATATATAAAATTGGCATTCTACGCCATCGTTCTCGTCGAACCCGTCGCTTACGAAGGGCTCGGCGAGTAAATTAACCCCCAGACACAGCCTACTAAGTTTCTCGCCGGATCTTCTCAGTGGGTCGCGTTTCCGATCCGGTGACAGATTCTGCGAAGCACGGCTCTTGCTAGGGTTCGTATTAGCAACGTCGTCAGGTTTTAGCCCCGTGAGCTCACCTATTAGTTAAGGTTACGCTGATATAGCCTCTCAAAGCTCTCAGCTTAGGTAGGAAAAAAAAGGCATTCTACAAAATTTATCAAAGATAAATACATCAAGATATCAAAACATTTCGAGAGGAATTGGCGATTTGAATTAATGTCCACATTTTATTTGCTTGCAGGGGCGGCCAGTAATGATTCGTTGAACAAGAACGACACTACGAGCGGTATTAAGGTGGTGCAACTCTCGATGCTACAGAAGCCCCCGAACAACGAACACGACGACTCCGACGGTGAGTTCACGAGACGGGCAGAGATCATGAGTCGGGTAGAGATCATGGGACTTGTCCAAAATGTGTACTTGATTTCTTAGCTCAGTGGTCGGCAACCCCATGCTCTTTGACTCGTCACCTACAACTCTTCAGTGAAATGTTTAGTCCAGGCCCAGAATATCATTTATCACCTTGCCTCGTAAGAGACGACTAAACATTATTGAAACGCTATAAAAATTTATGTGAAAAAAAAATTTGAAAATTTTTTAATATACCTATTATTACCTATATGAATAGTGAATGGCATGGTCAGCTTGAAATTAAATTACCTCTACTGTTGCATTTGTTACTTAGATTTAATTTTGTTTTAGTTCATCCACCATATTCACGGATGAGCTTCTTTATGGGACATTAGGCGTTCGGAAATTCATACCTAACATTTAAAAGTTTATTATTATTATATATTTGCTTAGATGGGTTAAGTGGTTACTGGTATAGTTACAACAGCTGCCCCACCCTTCAAACCGAAACGTGTTCCTGCGTCACGGTATTTAATTTTATTATTATACTAGCTGTACCCGTCCGCTACGCTGGGCATTTAAAATTAACATTATTATTTCTCACCCCCACAAAGATCCTCATCATTAACGCCCCCGCAACTGGTGTAGGGAGTCCGACGCTCATATAAATATTAGCCTATCCATTAAGTACATGTATTGTCTACATGGATACCAAGTTTCAAGTCAATCGGATGCATGGTCCAGTAGTTATAACGGAACATCCGTAAAAGCCACTGTAGATTTATGTATTAGTATAGATTAATTTTATATTGCAGAGAAGTCTGGTCACAAAGGCGTGATGGACGACGACGAGGAAACAGACTCGAGTGGTTCGATGTCGGATTCGGCCGCGAACGACGCGCAGGACGGGCGCCCGCACGTCTGCGACGTGTGCGATCTGAGGTGCGTACTTGTAATTTTTTTCCCTACCCTAATCGTTGGCAATCACCAAGCAGACACCAATGGAGATGGAGATCCTTACGCGGAAGTGGCATTGGATTGGTCGCATATTGAGAAATAAATAATATTTACTAACAATCACGCCACGTTAACTGGTCCCGTGATAAGCTCGTAAAGAACTTGTGTTACAGGTACCAGATAACGGAAATAAATGTAAGATTTTTATTATACACATACATATAATTAATATACATCCATAACCCTGGAAAAGACATTATATATTTATCATACAAATATCTTCCCTTGGCGGTATTCGAACCCGCGACCCCCTTGTGTAGTGACCATGTCATTTACCACCACACCAGACGGCCGTTAAAGCTCGATACCCACCTATCCAAGAGAGCACTGACCTGGGAAGTGTCTGGCAAAAGGAAGAGAGGCAGATCAACTTGGCGTCTTGGGTATGACGTGGGAGCAGCTAGAACAGACTGCCCAAGACCGATGTAAATGGAAGGATTTTATTCGAGCCCTACACCCCAGCAGAGGGTAATAGGATAGAAAGAAGAAGACCTAATCGTTGATCGCCTAAAGAACTATTCCTTAACGCAGACCGGTAGGTGAGCTCGCGCTCAACCTGAGAGAATTACTAACACTAGTCCTAGCAAGAGCAGTGCTTCCCAGAATCTACTATCGGATCAGAATCGCGACCCACTGAGAAGATCCGGCGAGAAATTCAGCGGGCTGTGTCTATAGGCCAGTTTGCACGTCGAACTCTTCGTCGGAGTCGACGATGACGATGACGGCGAGCTTGTTCTAAAACCTCGTGGTGGTTAGTCGTGCCACATACAAGACCCCGTACAGCATAAGTCTCAATCGCCTTTGACTAAACTACGGTTCGAAAGATTTGAGTCTGTGTAAGTCGAGACGCTCACATCGACCCATGCTCGGATTATGATTAGTAAATAATTTCCAGGTTTATGCTGTTCGCGAATAAAATCATGAGCTATATAACTTTGTGGGTGTCTGCAAATTTTTCGATATGCCGCCTTTAATGATAGAACGAGACAGTTGTAAAGGTTCGTGACGTAATAAACGTCAGTAGACCATTCACTCGAAACGATTTCAAAATAATACTTTTCGAAGAAATTAGATAAACCTAAGGCATTATTTTCTGAACTATTTGCTCTCAATTAACTAATCATTTTCTAAAAATTAAGAATGGATCTAGTCATCAAATATGTACATGATACAGTAAAAGACAGCGTGTGGACTCTTTTTATTAATAATACATCTAAATTACATATTATTATTGCGAAAAACATAAACATAAAAAAAAATTGTTAATAAGAACACTGAAGTGTTGAAAATTTTACTATATCTTTATAAAGACATATATTTTTAGAGATTTAAAATTACTAACACTAATTTAGATAACACAAATATATGGAGGTAAATACGTCTGACAATAACGAGCCAGTGCAATGTGAATATTCTCACGCGTACTAAGGCGCACTGACCTCGTATTGCAACAGATCTTTCTATTTATTACATTATCATTTTTTAGACATATCTCTCTGTGAGGAAATGGCTTCAAAGAGCCCCCTTGTCATTCAGGATAAAGTGGAAGGTATCAGATCGCTGGAAGTTTGCACATGCGATGGACCGACCAAGTCAAATCGGCAGTTGGCGATTCTTTGCATGAGTGCAGACTCACCACAAACCGGGAGAAGTGGCGATTACTCGTGAGGCGCATAACATCTGCCCACAGCAATGATACTTACTGAATCCACGATCGCTTTTACAAGAATAACCGCCCGGTCATCGTTCTCATCGAACCCGTCGCTTGCGATAAAGGGCTCTGCGAGTAAATTAACCCACAGACACAGCCCACTGAGTTTATCGTCGGATCTTCTCAGTGGGTCGCGTTTCCGATCCGGTGGTAGATTTTGCGAAGCACGACTCTTGCTAGGGTTCGTGTTAGCAACAACGTCAGGTTTAAGCCCCGTGAGCTCACCTGCTCGTCCGCTGACGCTGATATGGTCTCTCAAGACCATCAGCTTAGGTAGGAAAAAAATGCCAAGAGTGATACAAAAAATGAGATAGTATTATTACATTTAAATCAAACGAGTAAAGTGAAATATGATCAAGATTTCGACTTGTCTTGTTCAGATTCCAAAGGTCATCGCACCTGAGCCGCCACAAGCTGACCCACACGGGCGAGCGACCCTACACGTGCGGCGGCTGCGGGAGGTCCTTCGCTAGATCTGACAAGCTAAGAATGCACACCAAGATCTGTGAGAGGGTATGTACATTTTTTTTTTATTGCCTAGTTAAGTGGTACAATGTAAATGCCGTCACCCACCTTGAGATATAAGTTCTAAGGTCTCAGTATAGGTACAACGGCTGCCCCGCCCTTCAAGCCGAAACGCATTACTGCTTCACGACAAAAATAGGCGGGGTGGTGGTACCTACCCGTGCGGACTCACAAGAGGTCCTACCACCAGTAATAACTACTAAACACAACGTTTATATTTTTATTGTGACTTGTTGACGTCGCCCGTGGTGATCAATAATGTCAAGAACTTTCTAGAAATTTTCCATCAACCGCTGAGGACGTGGAGTACACTCGCACACAGCTTAATAGTCCGTTAATATTGTGAGGGAAACTGTAGTTTTAGGCTTAAGAAGGACTCCGTTACTGAGTGGTGCTGTAGTGATAATGCCACGGCCGAATTACTCTAAACAAGTGCTTAGAACAAGTTTGTCTAATTTTAATTAATAACCTTATCGGCTTTATCGGTGACGTCACATACGTTTTATTTTTGTTATTTAACAACTAACTCCCGGTCACTTAAAAATTAATATGTGCGGATTTCGAGTATTCTAGACGATTCTGAGCAATTTTATTCACTAAAATTCGTTGTATAAAACGGACCAATAAGGACACAGAAGTCCACCTTTATTCTGTAACAATGGACACAATTAAATTAGTATATCATGTTCTTTACAACGGAAAGTATCTGTAATTTTTATACTATAAGTAAATTGGGAGAATCTGTAAGATAGATTGATAGACGTCGTAGTTAAAGCTAGTAGGCAGTAAGTTAAAGTTAGTAGGCAGCGGCTTGGCTCTGCCCCTGGCATTCCTGAAGTCCATGGGCGACGGTAACCACTCACCACCAGGTGGGCCGTGGCTCGTCTGCCTACAAGGGCAATAAAAAAAAATAATGTATGGGGTCTGCTGCGTGAGTCTTGGTTCAGGCAATATGGGGTTTAGATCCGTTACCGGAATGATTATGTCCAATTTCACACACACACAGCAATTTATTACATAAAAACGATTAGAAGGAGAAAAGCGACAAGCACAAGCACAGTTGAATAGTTCACAGCAAACAGTAAGAAAAAGTCCAGGCAAAGAAGGAGACATAAACTATACACACTAAACATTCAATATAAACTTAGTCAATCGAGACAGGCGTATGCGAGTAAATGTGACGTGAGCTTCGCGGTCAGAGGTCTGCGGACGAAGGAAGGAAGCTGCGACGGCGCACCTCGCGCCGTTCACACAAAGACTTGTGAACTACGCAATCATGTGTAAGTCACCACAAATGTAACAAATATTTGACAGGAGGACCCAACAGTGGACATGACAAACGACGCGCCGTCAAATAAACGCGAGAGCAACTCGGAAGTGATGTCGGGCATGGTGCGGAGCACGCACCGCGAGTCCGGCCACCTGGTGTTCACGCCGGGCGGTGACGTCATGCTGCCCCCCCGCCCCGCGCCCGCCGTGCTGGAGCGCGCCGACCCCCCGCCCGACGGCATGCTCGACCCCCCGCGGAGGGGGCGCGGCCGGCCCAGGAAGACTCCTCTGCCTCTAACGCCTAAAATCAAGAAGAAGAGAGGTCGCCCCCCTAAGACGTCGCTCGGTTAGTTACCAATGAGTAAAATTTGTAATTAAACTTTTGTTCCGATTCTATTGACCTCTTCCAGAGTGCCTATAAAAGTATATCGAGACTAAATAAATCCATTACGTTTTAATCATCCGGAGTCAGCACCGATACGAACACCATACCTTTGTGTTTTGATTAACAGAAAGAGTAATTGTATAATTTGCCCAAAACACGTCATTACGGATCCTCCCGATCCATTAACTGTGCTTTTCGGTACCACAAGCACCGGGCACCGTCCTCGTCAAACCCGTCGCTTGCAATGAAGGGCTCGACGAGCGAATTAACCCACAGACACAGCCCACTGAGTTTCTCGCCGGATCTTCTCAGTGGGTCGCGTTTCTGATCCGGTGGTAGATTCTGCAAAGCACTGCTCTTGCTAGGGTCAGTGTTAGCAACACTACAGTTTGAGCCCCGTGAGCTCACCTACTAGCTAAGGTTGCGCCGAAATAGCCTCATAAGGCTATCATCAGCTTAGGTAGAAAAAAAATTACATAAAAGTGTCACCTTTAAAAAGAATATTTCACAACACAAGTAGCGGTAAGTGGAAATTGTGATCATCAATTCCAGACCTGGAAGGTTGCGTACTAACGAGCGGCTCAGTGATGGGTCCGAGCCCTCAGCAGATCTCCCACATCGCGACTCCCTCCGGACACCAACTGTTACTCAAGAGGAAACGTGGACGACCTCCGAAGAATTATTTCATGCCCAAACAAGGTGCGTGCGTGCATAACCATTCCGTTTAATTTTAAAACTCTGTTTGCACATTGAAAAATTTAATGTACTAAATGAAAAAGACTTAATTTCTTAAACAATTGACGTTATCACTTCCATTCTAAATTTGTCGGCATGTCAAAATTTAGTGCATTGAATTTCATAGAACAGCTTCAAGTTTTAGACTGGTTTTTTGTTTGTGTGTCTGTGTGGCATTTTTTTTATTATCAACGAACGTTATACAGTGTGTAACAAAATCTTATTCTTTTTAGAAAAAATATGAATGTAATTAAATGCAAAATAATGAATAAATTAGATTATATTATTATAAAACTAATAATTGAATATCAAATTATTTGCTAGTATTTGGTTAAAAGCACCGCGTTATTCTTTTTAGAAAAATTATGAATGTAATTAAATGCAAAATAATGCATAAATTAGATTATATTATTATAAAACTAATAATTGAATATCAAATTATTTGCTATTATTTGGTAAGAGCACCGCGTTATACAAAGTCATTCTTCTATTCTAACATAAAGTGATAGGTGTGCCAATCACCTCAATTGACTATTCCGTTATTTGCTTAACGGTTCTCAGCTGTTTGAAATCGCTAAGTTGTGTGATCTATTCATAAACATACTTACATTATACAAATCATTACTTAAATACGATCGTTAACATTTGTACACAAAATATAAAGTTTTTGCAACACACTGTATAAATATCATTAACTAATTAGTTAAAAGAAAGAATATGCAAGTGATTTAAATTATTTATTCTGTTTGATAAATGTTTATTTCTATACTACATATACAGTTTTTACACTAGCCATATTACAATGCATGTGTTTTGGCGTTATCTGATTCCTCTTTCATCGTGATTGAATGTAGTTGGGTCATAGGGAACCCTAAGTATATCTCATAGTATCAGAATATTTATATTGGTAAATATTTTTAATACAATTTTATAGATTTTTTTTAACTAAAATGATAGTTTTTAAAGCTAGATTTCATAAAAATAATACAGAATACAAATCAGTGGAAGAATTGTACACTGGAGCCATTTATTTTGCTTAACTACTTGCACAAAAATAATTTCAATTTAAAACATACTCTTATTTAAAACTTCAATACCATATATTTAATTATGGTTCTTAAAGTCTTACGACTAAGTGCCACGATTACAAAATCAATTAATTTCGATCGCGTTCTTTAAAGATGACTCACAATAAACTTCCTTTTTTGTGATTCCGCAACAACAATGAGCGTTATTAATTCACATCGTGTTTGAATCATCAGTACATGTGTCATATTGTTACGTTTGTGTGTGTTATGCATGTGTGTGAGTTGAATAATTGAAATGGCGGGAAATTTGAATCATTGAAGTTTCAAAAATTTTGACATTTTATTGGTATAATAAACACACCCGGATTGTTACCAATTTTGTTTCTTTCAACGTGTAAAGCAATCATGGGTTTTGTGTCGTTTGAGGCTTAGACGTAAATGAATGCAATTGTTTATATCCATATAGGTACTATGTCATTTTAAACTTTTAACAAACTATGAAAAGACAATTGAAAGTAACATATTGTTAATAATACTTTTGTATTGAATACATTAAAATAAATATAAACATATTGAATTCAATTGCAATGAACACATTTGATGATGAAAATTTATACGCCAACTGCATAGAAAATTATTTTTATTTCATTGTATGGGTGTGATTAAATTGTGGTGCGAACGTTTTGTTTATTTATTAACTTATTATATCGAAAGATATCATTGGAGTTTAATTTATTAATTTTTGTTGTTGTTCTTTTATTGTAGAAGATGACATTTATGCTTTTTTGTTTCCGCTGTCCTTGTACTTATTCTCTGTTGATTTTTGTTTCAAATTTAAATTATGTTAGAGAAGTCTAGAGTTTCAATCAAATTTCAATTAAATCTACTAGAAAATATCTTAATTAAATTTGCTTCTTAGTTGTTTTGAAATTCAATTGTTTTTTTTTTCACTGATTTTTGTCTATATCCGTTTGGTATTTCATTCATACCTTTAATATATTTGTCAATAATTTTTATTTACTATTTAATTAAGTATAAATGTGTATAGATTGCCTACATAACGCTTGAACTTAGTAAGCCAACAGAGAATACGTACACGCCATCTAGTGGTGACGCTGCGCTAACTGCAACTCTCTCCTTAGGTATGGATGTCGATTTAGCGATGCAGTACGGACTAGCCGCTGAACTGAACAAAATTTGTTAGTATACTTTCCAAATTATAAATGCATGAACAAGTAACACTATATATCGACGCTTGAAAGGCAAACGTGACTAAGCGACAATAACTGCTTTGTACATAAATGATAGGCAATAACCATAATCGATGCGCAAAAAAAAAATATTTTTAGTTCTATTAAAATCATTTACGGTAGGCAGCGGCTTGGCTCTACCCCTGGCATTGCTGACGTCCATGAGCGATGGTAACCACTCACCATCAGGTGGGCCGTATGCTCATCTGCCTTTAAGGTAAAAAAAAAAACAATCCTACAGCTACCTACAGCTAGATACAAAATATTTTTTTTTCCATGTATTTCAACTATAAATTAGTCTACTGTAAAGTTCACGCATTGTCGCTTAGTCACGTTTGCCTTTAAGCGTCGATATATATACACACTAATATTGAAATATGTACAGGGTGTTCGAAAATTGGTCTTTTTACTTCCATTTCTAGAACAATTTATCGAAAACTAAAAACATTAAAAATATTGTTTTTGTGAAAGAAAAAAAAAACGAACTATTACCGTCGATCAGAAACAATTCGTGATCTATCAAACTTTGCTTGTGCTTTCATAATACAGCTTTGTTTTATTTTTTGCACTGTTTTCTTCATACTGAAAATTGAAGGTAAGTTCGTATCTGCTTATGACTGAATGCCAATCTTACTAACAAAAATTCTTTTTTGAATGTCTATAGTGAGCTGAGTGAAGTTAACAAATTTGAAATAATACCATATTGATTTTGTTTAAAGAGCTTTTGGTATTTAACACGTTCCAAATACTGAAAATCTATTAAAGCAATTGCAATAGAATAATAATGTTAATAAAAGATAAATAATCGCCTAAACTTTTAGTTACAATTGTGTTTTGTATTGCTTAGATGGGTGGACGAGCTCACAGCCCACCTGGTGTTAAGTGGTTACTGGAGCCCATAGACGTCTATAACGTAAATGCGCCACCCACCTTGAGACATAAATTCTAAGGTCTCAAGTATATTTACAACGGCTGCCCCACCTTTCAAACCGAAACGCATTACTGCTTCACGGCAGAAATAGGCAGGGTGGTGGTACCTACCCGCGCGGACTAACAAGAGGTTCTACCACCAGAAAAAATATTGTTAAAATATTGTATAGTAAAAAAATGGTGCATAATCTACTATAAAAATTGAATCCCTTTAAACTTTTTATTTTCCAAAATCAACTGATGTGAATGTTTCCAGATGGACGTCCGAACGAAAACTACAATGCGACTAATCTACCCTTCGGCGACTTCTCGTACCTGACGGAAATGATCTACAACCCCATGACGTACAGCTACGGCGTGACCAGCGTCGACCCGGACCGGAACGTCGACACCGACCAGAGCATGTCCACCGAGCCGCACGACCGGACCATCGACGTGTCCGACACGTCATCGGACGACGACGACTCGCGAGTCGAGCCGGAAGAGAACATCCCTGCCGTTGCCATGGAAACGCAGATCATGACCGTCGGCGACTGTCAGATCGTCAAACTTCCCGCCAACAACGATGATAAGGACGACAAAATTGATCAATCGGCTGAGGGTAGTGTAGTGACGTCATCGACTCCTAGCTCGGTCACCATCACCCCTATAACCACAGTGGGCGACTGCACCATACGGCCCGTCGAGAACACATAATGTGTGCAACCGTCTGTCCCCATAATATGCGGAGGTCTGCTTCTATGGTTCGTGTGAGCGCGTCGCGACGTTTCCCTGTAATCGATTATTTTAATTATGTCGATAGTATCGATCGATACTGAATCAGTATTCTACTTAGGTATAGTTTTACAAATTTTAAACTTTTTAGTTTTAATCATACAATACATCATCCGGTTTTCGAGTGTCGTAACGTTGTTAATTAACGATAAGAATAATTGGAATTGAAATTTTTTTTATCGATTTTTTGATGAATCGTTTTTGGTTTGGCACGACAAAAAATACTCTTGTACAAACGTTATATGGTTTAGGGTTTTAGTTTGTAAGAATGAAAGACTTATGAAACGACATAGTTAAATTACAGGGAGACGCCATGTTCGCTCACTGCGGAGTCGAGCTGGTATGGGGAGGGCACGATTATCCATTGTGGTAGCATTTAATTATAATGGCATTTACATGCGCCATAAAAACAACACTATTATATACTATAAAGACAACGCTTCGAGATACTGCAGGTTTTCTTAACTAGGGTTGAGATAATCGATAATCGATGCGTAGTTCAACAAAACTTTTTAGTAGTGATATCTCGAACAACTTATATAAACATATTATGACTAAACTTACTAATCGATTTAACAGTACCCACACGTGAGCGCTACATATTTTATAGATATTTCTTTTTCAATGGTTCGTATTTATTCTTGAGTTATATGAATCATGTAAGTCTTCCGTATTCGTAATGCTACTACAATGACATTGACAAAAACCATCGAGTATTCCTTGAATTAGGTTTTGACTGTCGACCCGTGCATTTAAGGAATCAGCGAGGAATATTAATTTATTTCATTCGAACGTTTTATTTTATAAACGCCATAAGCTTTACAATTTAATTAAACGTGATACTCATATATATACCTGTGTACCAGAACAAATTCGTCACAATCCAACAAACTTTCTACGTAATATAATTAACTAGGGATATAATAATAATAATAAAAAACAAACAAACAAACAAAATAGTTTCGTATTATTTTTACATTAAACATAACACCAAATACAGATTGAATATTAGTCTCGGCGGAAAGCTCCCTCTGCACATTGACTAATAGATTTAATATTTTGCGAATATATAAGTATACATTAGACGCGTCGTAACACGCGAAGTTACGAAGCGATAATATTTAGATGCGCTGTTCGCGACATGCACTAACGAAGTTGCCTTCAATGGTTTTAACTGTAATCGTATAGTAATAAGGGGCACTTCTCAAAAATATTACACTTGCGGCCACGAACGCGTCGGCAGTGTAGATCTCTCGGTCGATCTGATGCAACACGAGAGACTGACTTCCATTATATGTTAACGTTAATATTTTTGAGCAGTGCGATAAAGTTTCGTGTAAATTATCGAACAAGTCGCGTTCGTATCGATAATATATAAAGAATATCGATAGGTTTAATCACTCAATACTCTAATCGGTTTTAAAACGATTTTCTCAATTTATTATTGTGTAGGAGGAAATCGATTAAATAATAATCGCGAACGATCAAACCTAACCTTGTGTTTAAATTTATAAGCGGTGTTCGTATAATAAATGTTTGGGTTTGATTCGATCGATGTAATAATTCCCGAGAATTGTCTGTGGTGGTTTTGATTCCACAAAAAAAATAAGAAGGTCTGATCTATTCGGTATATATGGAAATTTTCGTGCATTTTTTTTTGGTGTTGTCAATCTGTAGACTGTCTTTTTTGGATCAATTATTGAAGAAATACCTTCTGTTTCGAACAGGGTTAAATTATCGATGTTTTAGTGAAGTGATTATTGGATGACTTTTATTTATTTATTGCATAAACAATGGTGAATCCTAATCTGGTGGTAAGTGGTTAATCTGAGTTCATAGACATATCACAACGTGAATGTCGCCAGTGAGACTTCAAAAATATATATCAATTGTTCTGTAATTAGACATGTTACAATTATCGCGAGTTTATTACACGATGTTATTCGTGCGCCATTGAAGTCATTCATGAACATTTGTCAAGTACGTATTTCATTACAAAAATTGGTAGCTGCCCGTGAGATTCGAACACCGGCACAGTCGCATCGCTTGATACGAATGTACCGGGCGACTTATCTTTCAGCCTAAGACGACTTCAATGAACAATAAGTTTTCATTGCCCATTCACTTTTCAATCGCGAAACAAACTCGGGTGTCCATAATTTTGCTTCTTAAAAGGTAAATTGATCCTGAATTCTAACCAGCCCATTTACTAGACAACTTTCAAACAACCTCTAAAGCTAAAAGTAACATTAAATTTTTCTAGTGATGATATTTTCAAACCGCGCGTTCCGATGTTGTCTCTATTGTCAAATTGTCTGACTGACATTACCGACGATATATTTTTTACTGGCTCCAATTAGAGCCACCACAGACGCGTCTCAATAAAAATGGCGCGAACTTAGAATCTGATTGGCTGTATGTACGCCGTTTCCTTAGGCATAAACTAGTTGCGCACGCTACGTCGCCTCTCATGCTCTTGTATCGGCCACTGTGAATACTAGACTGTAGTTTATGTAGTGTCTTAGTAATGTAATATTCTAAATATTGATAACGACTCGGCAACACCACGCGAACAAGTGATACATACATACGTCTTAGCTGATTATTTGTAGTGGAACTTGTAACGTTAATAACAATATTTATATGTTTATTTTAATTTTGCTCGGTAATGCGAAGAAGAAAAAAAGTTTTTTTCTTTTCTTTCAAAAACGTGATTCTTTGTAATACATGTTTTGAATCAAATATCAAGATTATTTTTAAATAGATTTGTCCACTATTTAATGGATGTTATTATACATATAAACCTTCCTCTTCAATCACTCCATCTATTAAAAAAAACCGCATCAAAATCCGTTGCGTAGTTTTAAAGATTTAAGCATACATAGGGATATAGGGACAGAGAAAGCGAGTTTGTTTTATACTATGTAGTGATAATACAATCGTGGACTATGACTAGTGTTAGATATTTCTACCTGCAGAGACTGATGGGGTAGCTAAGTACGTGAATTTCGGTGACAATTATGTTTCGCCTAATTCCAGTTATTGTGTTTATTCATAATAATAGTGTCGGTGTGTGCCTTAGACCGAGTTGGACCTGACTCTATCGGTCTAGTGGTGCGTTATTCGGAACAGCACTCTAAGGAATGTGCATTCGATTTCCGGCTGGTGGACTTTGTTAAAGTTATCCGATAATACATAGTGTGTTTGTGAAAAATTTCAGCTTGGGTTTTTAATTTGGAACGTTTGGGAAAAGAAAACGATCTTTGGATTTAAAAAAAAGCTTTTAACACGCAGTTCATTAAAGAGTTATTACCCAAAAAAAGGTGTTTAGCAAACTCAATATCAAAATGATATTTGATTCAAAATTCGTAAACAGAGAATGCAAATAAGAACCCCACAACACAAAGACAGCTACTCGCTAATGGTGGCTGTTAGACAGCCAATGTTGGCGCTTCTAAATTAGTTCCTCGTTTTATTTATAATTTTCAAATCCAAAATATTGTTTAAAAATTAAAACTTTGCATATTTAACAAAAATATCTTTATATATATATAACAAAAATATCTTCAAAGTATTAAAACTCTTAATTGGTAAACGTATTTTCTTTAATCTGTACAGTAGTATATAGTTCCTAACATGTAATCGATACAAAATTATAACCCTCTTGGAATATTAGTGTAGGAAAGTAAAGTTAATTTTTATTTTGGGGCCGCGTCGCCTTTACCGTATAATAAAATTAAAAAAAAAAAACAGAATCGACAATATTTCGTATGGCAACATTATCTGAGAAAAACATAACAAATTAACCTAATGCGGATTTAGAATATTTTAGAACTGTCATTTGAGTTTAGCAACCGGCGGCGCGGCGTCCATGCTAGTGATAAGTTTTTTTATATTTTATTTCGTAATTCAATCCTTTTAATTATTATTATTATTTTTAAAGTATTCATTAATTCGTCTAATCATTGAATCGATTTCGTTGACGGAATAGTTATTACGTATTTTAATGAAGACTGCTCGGTATCGCTTTCTGTTCGTATTATTTCGCTTGATGTCCTTAATTTTGTATTTGCAATCGTTCAAATACGAATATCGTATCTGACAATATTTAAAATTTAGTACACAACAGTGCGTTCATTCAATCATTGACAGCTCAAATGTTATTCACAATTTGAACTAAAAATAATAATGAGTCTTTTGAAAATACTAAATCTTCGTGAATATTGGTAGGCAGCGGCATGGCTCTGCCCCTGGCTTTGCTGAAGTCCGTGGGCGACGGTAACCACTCACCATCAGGTGGGCCGTATGCTCGTCTGCCTACTAAAGCAAAAAAAAAAATAAAAAAAAAATTAAGCAAATGAAGAAACCGCTTGATAAGCAGAGAACAAAATTGTTCTAAGCTATTTTGTTTTTCCCAATTTCCTATAAAGATATGTGCAGCAAATTTCTTTGTAATTTCAGAGGCAAGACTGAATATGCTAATTCTTTTTAACATTATTCTTGATACTGCCTTTGGAGTATCGTGTTATCAATTATCAATTTATTCATGTTTCTTGTCCATTCCCAGTGCAATCATCAAAGAAATTATAAAGATTGACCGCTATTTTCGGTCCAAACCTCCTATAGTTTAAACTTTAATTTTAGACTGAATCAGTTCTGCATAACCACATCCATCGATTTAGTTTTCGCATCGACGACTCATCATGGCTATTTATTAATTTCGTTATTTATTGTCTGCGAAGTCGACTGAGCGATTGCGAGTACAAAGAGTTGTATTGTATAAGTAGCCCTCGAGAGGCATTGAAGCTGAGTCTCAGGCGGCAAGCTAAGCTTATTGAGAATTATTTAATATAGGAATCTGTATTTTTATAATGATACTTAAGATAAGTTGAGTGGGAGCCGGTATTGGATTTGTTTGCGATTTGATCTATTCATTTTTATACTTGTGTTATTGTGGAAGCCCTATTGGCTGATTGGCCTGGTTAAGTTTAAAGAGCTGTTCTGATTGGTTGATATATATATACATACACCTTTCTATCATTCACATCGATTTCCCTCATTAAATTCGTGTACACGAGAAATAAATACATATTTTATATCAATTGCGTTTACGATCGAGGTATTTATTTATCATTATATTAAATGAAAAAGTATTTCATGTAAAATGTACACAGATTTTGTGTTTTTTTTTTTTAAATGTTTGTTTACTTCAATGATTATCGGGCTACATAATAGCGGGTGTGTCGTTAAAATCATTGTTTAATTTACGTATTTAATCACAAGCATACTTAAAAGAGGTTATTGAAATTTTAAATTTAAGGTGAAATTTACATAATACCATACTTAGCTTGGGATCAATAACATATCCCATGCGTTGCGGCAGTCAATTAGAAAAGTGTAAAATTTTACTCTTTATTACTCACATATTTCAAATTAACAAAAATAAAAAATAAATTTAACCACAATTCCGAAGACATCGTGCTTAAAATAAAAAAAATATATACCAGCGCCGCAACGCAAAAGCCTCGAATTAAATACCTGAATATTTTTTTTGAATCGCTCATTCCACGATCTTTTACATATTTATAATTTAATGGCTCTTCTAAATTACCTGGGCGATTCGTTTTGATATTAAAAATGTAATGAAGTCGCATTTGAAAAGCAATAGAGACGTTATTGGTAATTTTTTATTTTTTAATATTCCAAAACATTACATGACCTTATATATCTAAAATACACAAGTTTTTTAAAATCGCGAACACGTATCGTTGGAAACAATTAACGGAAATTAATAAATGCGAGATTAAGTCGAAAAAATAGTTTTAATTGTGTATTAACAATGTTTAGAATGAAAAGTTAAAAAAGCTCGCGTTGTTGGTATTTGTACAGATATTTCCACTACCAACCCACTGGTTTAATATATGAATGGCTTAGTCGTATAAACAGTACGTTCTCAGAAAGGCTTAAATTAAACTCGATTATTGATGCGTGTAAAATAATTAACACAAAAACTCGACACTCTCACACTATTATGTGGTCCGAGAACTCGTTCGAGAAATATCACGCAATACGTATTATTAATTTATGGCATGTTGAAAGATTGTATGCATTTATATTTTGAGTAAATGTTTAATTTTAATTAATGTTTATGTTCGTAATGTCACAATTGAGTTAAGTTGAAGTTTTTTTTTTTTTGTATTATGTCATTTATGTTATGTACCCAGAGTTATAATAAATAATCACTATTGGATCGTTCACGTTTTGAATGGCAGATTATTTTGATTCTCAGCGCGTGTTTGTACGAAAAAGATTAAAAGATAATATCGAGAGATGAGAGACTGTTTGGTTTAAGCCACATTTCGCTTAATGCGCCACATTTATCTTGGTAATTAAAAGACCGTTTTATTTGGTATTAGCATCAGCAATTCGGTGTTTTTAATTGAACTTCAATTATGTTTACCCCATTTGAATAGCTGAAGAAGTTTTATTGTCATTTGCAAGTTTGACACTTTAAATGGCTCTCCTGTATGTAAGGTTTTCAAAATGTCGCTTTAAAACATATAGCCTTTTACCCTTCGACATAATTTATTAACTTTATTCAGACCTGAACGTAGGTATTTTCATATAAAAGAACAAAACTTGAAATACATTTGATTCGATGTAATTCGTTAATACAAAATTTTTGTCATTCAAAACGCGAACGAAGTTCACGGGATACTCCCTCCACACATATTACACCTGCCTAATCAATTATTATTGCAATCAAATTTAACCGTAATATGAAAATTTTACATATTCACATTACGTTACAAAAGTATAATAATATGGTGTGTGTAATTTGAAATTTAAACGTGTGTTGGATGTAATGCAGATTCTTCTTCAAAAATGTTATGGTTCTTCAAAAACAAAACAATAGTAATTCGTCACGATTAAGCCAATTTAAGATATGTATAAAATATTAGACATTTCTTAGTAGGTTGAGCTATGCCATAATTTAAAAAAAAATATTCATCTAATTAATTACAGTCTAAATATTGTTTGAACAATGTCTACTCTACAAAACAGCACACGAGTACATTTCATATTTTAACGTTTAGTTGTAGTGTCCAAGGTTTTTATATTCCTGTATTGTGAAATGACTGTCATTTTACGTTGTGATCATGTGAGTGCAAAATTTTTTATTTAAAAAAAAAAAACCAGTTTCGATGACACTTCGTCGACATTAGGGCAGCAGATATATTTAACATACAATATGTTTTTGTTCTGCACAGTCCGAGAGCAGTATTTTTTAGATTTAATCTTTTATAATTATAAACTTTTTATTTTTAACGTTTATCGAAATTCGAACGTTAGTTTCTAACAATGAAATATTTAATAAAGAAAATCACAAAAGTAAGTTTTTATTTTTTTATTTTTTCTGAACACATTAATTATTGTTTACCTACACATATGACAATATGTGTAAGCAAAACACATTACATTTAACTTTTGGATATCTATAATACAGTAGCTTGTGGTAGTATCAGCATGTCTCGAGGTAGGTGACATTCGCTTGTTGTTGTCCAAGGACCACCCGGGCATCAAACACCGTGTGGAAGTAGAAACAGAACCAAAACTAGTATACTTTTGTTCCGGAGACGTTTTACAATAATAATTCCTATATAGCAACATATTTCTGAGAGATACTAAAATCAAGGTGAGATTGCAAAATATCTTAGGAATAATATTTAAATTTTAATTTAATACCTAAATTAGGTAATTTGCGGTCAGTGGTCATCGTAGCTCATGAACATCAGCAATAACAGGAATACAGTAAAGCCGTTGAGAACTCTACTTCCATGGCATAGCCCTAAAGAAACCATCATTCCAAAAGCCAGACGGCGCATGGCAAATACTATCTCTGGAAACTTCTGTGTAGATCAACGCAGCGGTTCGAACTGGTACTGATGAACCCATCTCTGGCGGCGGGAGCGATAAAAAAAGGAAGTTATTACATCATCTCAAACAATTCCTCAGAGCACTTTCCATAGAACGTGCGAGAACTGAAGTACCCGAACGATTGAGAGTCGGACTGTCAACAGTCCAGTAGAATCCAACGAAAGTAGGTAGCTGGTATCCATTTCGGGTGTGGACTGTATTTAGTGCTAACTTCAATAAAAACTTGATTCAGAGCGGAGGATTTTTAATTCTTTTGATATACATACAATAAAGAACCGCGCAAGTACGACCGGAATTTTTTGTGCAACTGCAACGACTTGTATTGCCATACTGAAAACAATGATATATAAAGTGTCATGTTTGCCCTAAACTGTATCGAGTAGAGACAACACGCTGGTAGGGTAGGCTCAAGAGCGATCTGTGATATCCTTCACTTACTAAAGATTATACCTGCCACAGTATTGAGTTTTCGGTTTTCTTACTGTTTACTAGTGTATATTTTAAGAGTTGTGCGTTACTTTACCTTAATTATGCTATTTAGTTAAAACTGCAATTTCAACACAGATCACTAATAGTCCACTAATCCTATTAACTGTCTTAAAAAGTTTTAATATATTTTTTGCATCGTTTTGTACGCCCAAGCGTTTAAAAAGTCAGTCAAGGATCGACTTAATTTTTAACAGAATAAAAGCAAATAAAACCGATGGCTGAATGAGGTATCATATTTATTATAGTATAAATATAATTTTTGGATAACCACACGTTCAGTATTGTTAAACAATAACTGCGATAACCGTAGTAAACTAATTGTAATCAACATGTGTAACTTTGACCTCGCAGGGAACATTGGCCGCTCGACCTTGGATATACAGTACGTGCATTTATTTATCCAACAGAATATTCCTACTGGAAAGCGTTTTCAAATTTCTCTGGAACAACCTCTCTCACGAAGAGGTCAAGGTTACCCAAATTGTGTATTGATAATTACAGAGATTAAAACCTAAATCGTTGTACGCGGCCGCATTAAGTTCCGGGTGGGGGAGGGGGGCGGGTGAGCCAGTGCGGCCCCGGGGTGGACATGAACACCGGAGCGTTCGTGCGGAAGGGACTGTGCAGGCGCGGAGAGCTTCCGAACTGGAACAGGCTTGAGAACGGAGGGGGCGCTGCCGGGTTGTAGGGGGGCGGGGTGTTCGGGTTGAAGGGAGGGATGAAAGCCGATCCGTCTGCAGAGAGAGGGGGAGGTCTGCCGTGGCGCCTGGACCCGAGCGCGAAAGGATTGCGACCTCTGCTCGGCCCGCTACCGAATCTGCTATTCCACTCCGAAGGCCTCTGGTTCCGTCTCTCGACCGGTTTCCGAACGTTCCGGGACGTTTCTCCGTCGTTCTGAGTGTTCTCGTCTTCTTTGTTTTTCGTCTTGCGAGCCCGCGCCGCCCTGCGCTCTTCTTCGTCGTCGGAGTAGTCGATGTGACTAGGCGGTGGCTCGATGTCGTTCAGCCAAGAAGCGTCGCAGCCTCTCACTCTGGAAGGAAGAAGAAGAAAGAAAAATAAATTTGATATAATGATCTCCGATTACTAATGTTACACTTCGATAAAGCCGGTAACTACATTCCCGATCCTACGGACAGAATGGAAAGCAGTCGACGTCGCCCCAAACACGTCATCTCGGATCCTCCCGATCCACTAACGGTGCTTTTAGGTACCACAAGAAGCGTTCGACGAGTAAATTAGCCCTCAGACACAGCCCACTGAGTTTCTCGCCGGATCTTCTCAGTGGGTCGCGTTTCCGATCCAGTGGTAGATTCTGCGAAGCACGGCTCTTGCTAGGGTTCGTGTTAGCAACGTCGTCAGGTTTGAGCCCCGCGAGCTCACCTACTAGCTAAGGCTACGCTGATATAGCCTCTCAAGGCTATCAGCTTAGGTAGGAATAAAAAAAAAACCTAATGTTATGATGGCACTAAAAATTGCAAAGTAGCACTAACGAAAGTTCAACGGACCCGGGGATCTGTGGTGTCGAGACAACGGGAGGGCCTTATGCTAATTGACTTTACTGTATGTCAGAAATACATTAAATATAAAAACTAATTAATGTGTTATGTTCTTTTAAGGTAGCAGTTAATTTGGTTTCGTAGTTCGTTTGACGATAATTAATAAATAAAAAACCCGCAAACAAGTTTCAAATACAAACTCACTTCATCAGTTCTGATATAAATACGTAATTAGTGTGTTGGCTTTTTGGCGCGATGAATACTTCCATCCCGGTTTGTACGCCGCGTTCTTTGACGTGATCGAGTGAGTTGAAGCGCACGCAATAGTGCGGCTCCGTTATCTGAAAAATAACAAAAAAAAAACTTTTTTTTTTTATTGTTTAAATGGGTTTACCACCTCACAACCCACCTGGTGTTAAGTGGTTCCTGGAGTCCTTAGACATCTACAACGTAAATGCGCCACCCGCCTTGAGATATAACTTTTAAGGTCTCAGTATAGTTACAATGGCTGCCCCACCCTTCAAACAGAAACGCATTACTGCTTCACGTCAGTAATAGGCAGGGTGGTGGTACCTACCCGCGCGGACTCACAAGAGGTCCTACCACCATTTAAAACATTGATATAGTTACACAGGCAAAGAATTCGGTATAGGATATTTAAATTAGTAAGCCGCCAGTCATATTTATGTAACAGTATATATATATATATTTACCATAAACTAAAAAAAAATAGAAAAGTTCAAATCTTTCACCACAGTATTATTCCAAATAATAAAAATGTAGACAAATTTCCATGAACTATGTATTAATTCCTTTTTATTCACATTTTAATGCGTTTTCAGAGCCAAATAACATTTGATGTGAAAAATACATTTCTAGGGTCACTGAAGTATTCTTGGATTATGGCCAAATAGTGTATTGCAGATATAATTTCGAAGATATTACCTTAATTGTATGCCAAATAAATATTTAATAAAATTTTCATTACAATTATAGTACCTATGAAATTTGCACTGGACACTACATTTATTCTATTTTACATAGATTAAAACTACAGAAAAGTCTCACATGTGTTTTAAAATCATGGGATTACTAAACCTAAAATCAAATTTCATAATTATACAACATAGTAACTAAAGAAACTAGGTGCTACCCTCAGCTTCGTCTGCATACTTAAGGAGCAATGTCAGTATAGTTTCTCAGGGGAATGAGATATTTTGTTGGGTTAAAAGGTAGCCTATGTCACTTTATTCTATCTATCTCTAATATTATCACTTTAAATAATATATTGGTCTGTTGCTTCGTTACGAAATGAAAGATAGACAAAAAAACACCCTCTCACATTTGTATTAAGTATGGATACTCACAGGTCCAAATACATCAAAAACTTTGCCAAGTGCCTTTGCTCCGTTTTCCACAAAAAGTACGCTCTCTATGTCCACTGCAGGTGTCTCCGGAAATGCTTGAACTATAACTGATACAACAAACAATTTTATAATATTGTTTTTTCTTTTGCACACCCTGTCTGCGAGTAGTTTAATAAGTATTAATGAAACTCTTAGATGCCATGATATGAGTAAAAACATTTTATAACTTTACAAATGCCTTTTCATTTTGTAAGAATTATAAAAATGTCTATATTATTATTATTGTTGCTTTTTTTTAGTTAATTTATACCGAGGAAACACTCCATCATCACTACTCACTCATTGTTAAAATAAATTCCTCATTTGTAATTAATTCCAATAATTAGATAGTGTAAAGAAAATAATAATTAAAATAATGATTAATAGCATTTATTAATATTCAACTTCACTGATTAATAATTATTACAACAATCAGTAGTATATCACTAAAATGAACATTTATGAAAAATAATCATTTGACCTTTAATGTTGAGTCTCATGTTTTTTATTGTCATTGTAGTATTTTTGTAGCTAGCACAATATTCAAATGCCGACAAATGATGATCTCAAAATCTGATCCACTATCCCAAAAACTGCCAAGTTTTCCGAAGCATCGGAATGAGCATCAACACAAATAATAAAAAAAGTATTAGGCTAAACCATAAAAACAGTAAATGCTAATTAAATATTTGTCACCATTAAACTATCACTTTTCGGTATCATAGTATATATTGTACATAATAGTCACCATTAGTAACGAAACGGTTAATGATACGTTCAAAGCCTAGGTATATAACCATGTCCTTCAAGCTTCAAAAGCTCCAAAATATTATAAATACTTGACTAGACTATGCACTACTACACTTTACTTTTATTTTTGAATAATATAATGTACTTGTAGTTAAGCTGTTAGCATTGAATCTATGTTGTTTTTAGTCATTTTTATTAAATTAATGCCTATTTTGTTATCTACCATCTTGGGACAAATTACAATATAATAACAAGTAAATACTTTGTTTGTTCTTCATAGGACTGATGCACAAAAAGTTATTATTGTGGATACTATTCATTGTGATAAAACAATTAATGGTACATACGTATTAATGCCACCGCGGCAAAAACTTTATGGTTAGCAAGAGTGGACAACTCGAAAAATATGGAAAAGCGAATCAGAGCACCCCACTTTCCACCTGGTCTTGTCTGCCCTACCCCTAGAGTGTATATAAAAACTGGAGGCGCGAAGGGAGAGCAGTCCTCGCCCGCTGTGACGGAGCACGTGTGACCGTGCTTCGGCACGCAAGGGTGGAAGGGCTACTCTCCCCGCAGCGCCGGAGATAAGGCGAATTCAAATTTAAGCTCCCTTCGAGTTTGACTAAATAATGCAATTTTAATCAAAAAAATGAACGGTGGATATCTTCATAACCATGGGGTTCCGCGGGGTGGGAAGGGTGCAAGGAGTAAACCCTTAACCCCTCTCCCTCCCCCCACCCTCACCCGATCCAAAATCGACAGACCATAAAGGAAAGTTTAACCGAATTTTTGCTGCGGTGGCATTAATACGTAAGTACCCAATAAATTCTAAATGATATAGCATTTGATTTTTCATATAAGTTATTCAACTCACCTAATCTATCAACTATGCTGGCAATTTTTCCTATTTTGGTGCATTCCTGGGCAGGTAAGCTGATGGCAAGGTCCTCGATGGGTGGGAGGTCATCCAGTCCTAATTCACCGTTTACTTTTGGTGCTTCTGGCTTATTATTTCTAACTTCAAACTCATCTCTAAAATCATATAAGTTACAAGTTATGTTTCTTTATTGTTGCATAAAAATAATAACAAAGAGCTCTGGTTTTACTATTTTGAGTAATTATATTATTTTGCAATAAAAAAAATGGCAATGATTCTCTCAAAAAATCTCATTATTTAGTTTTGGAATATTCAAATAAATCATTTCATGCTTGGCCTTGAAAAAAATACTAAGTTTTTTTTTATAACAATTTACTTTCCCATCTTTTTGTTCATGAGAGTTTGATATATTTTGGTCTTATGTAATACCAGCAAATTAAAAGTAAACACTTAAAAGGCTCATTAAATGTATTTACCCGCTAGACGCATCAGCATCCTTCACAGAATCCACTTCACTATCACTGGAGTCACTGGAAGAGCTCGTATTTGAATCACTGTCCGCGTCTCTATATTCGGTTACCTCGTACTCCATTATACCGCGTTCTGAACTGTCTATTATCATATGTCTGGTCACCTGTTCATCGCAAGGATCTGTTCTCGACAGAGGTCCGTGAGCACACGCGTTTATTATGTTGTTCTTTAACACCATTTCGCTCAACTCAGGAGCGTCCGAGTCGTTACCCGTATTGTTTGACCGTGTTTCTGTATCATCAGAATCAGAGTCCGAACCTCCGTATTCGGCTATTAAGCTTAATGACACGTTTTTATTACTGCTTTTGTTGAGGTTCTCCATTGTTCCGCTTCGCACTCCTGCACGCTTACAACTTAACGATATGATAGATGTATGTCAAATACTTTATTAGGAACTAGTTTAGCATTATTAAGAATATTACGAACATACGCGCACTTCTATTTAGACACAAAATACATGTAATAAATCCAATATTTCTATGCAATCAAAAAGCGTGACAATATGATCGCAAAAAAATGAGGCAATTGACAATTTTATTGACAGTGCAAAATAGAGATGTAGTCATCATCTCAAATATTAAGTGTATAATCTATGGTAGTCATAGTAGAGATGGCCAACTTTTGCTCAATAGCGTCTGCAGTCTATTTGGTCACCAAGTTCTCAACACATTTTTGTACGTATGACATTGTTAAACCTTTAAAAATGGTTATGGGTGTATAGTTATACGTTTTTCATGAAAAGGCAAGTGTTGTATTCATTTAGAAATTAATCACTGTCACTGAAATGAGTAAACCCAAACATACAGTTGTCTTGTTCTACGAGAAATACTCGACAGGGGTTTATAAATAAAGTCTGATTTAAAGTCAATTTCAGTCTAAGGCTGTTACCAAGTTCATCATTTCTTTCAATATTAAAACCGATTGTAAATAATCAACTGTTGATTTGGTATATGGATAGACTTGGTATTGGGATATGATATGGAGCACTAGGACCAGTTTTTACCTCACCTCTATACGTTTTCCAGCGATTGATTTTTCTGATAACGCATTTAGTGCAAATTATCCTACGCACACATTACAAAAAATGTTTTTATTTTTTATTTTCTATAATACCTTACATATAACATTTATTTTACAGAACGTTGAATCTTTTCAGTAAGTAATCTAGTAAGTACATGTGGTGAGAATGGTTCGCTGCTTCCCATATCTACACAATTCAAGTTAATTTATTCGAATTCAATTATTTTTTTATAAAACTTGAAACTTTAAGTTTTACTTTAACTGATTACAATTTTTTATCATCCATTTTTTTAATCCACTTTGTTGTATATATGTTCTATAATTTAGAGTGGATTCGCCATTAAATCGATTTCAAATTATTTATGGCAAGGTCAAAGCGCCAGAGAAATACCGTTGACATAAAAGTACCAAGGGAGTTTTAAAAAATGCAATACAGTATTTTATATTGAACTGTAGTTACGTTAAATATCGTTTATTTTATATAGTTTACTTAACATTTTAAATACATGCAAAATGGATCTTTGTTTATTTAGTTAGTCTGAAGTTTTGGTCCGCTTTTTACGAGGCGGAGTAGGCAGCTTGTAGTGTACGGTGCGGATGTGTAAGTTTCGGCTGGTCGAATACTTGAACTTCTTGCAGCACATGGGACACTGGTATGCTGCCACATTCGAGTGCACCTGCAAAAAGAATGTGGTGATCTGGCATAAATAGGCGTGTTTGCAGTTGCTGGAATAAGGAAATAGGAATGCCGCGCCAGTGCGTACTTGTCGTAGGTGGGCTAGGGTGAGTAGAGTACAGTAGGGTACAGTGGAGTAGCAACACGCACCTTGGCGTGGCGGTTGAGGTTGGTGCGCAGCGTGAAGGTCTGTCCGCAGTGCGTGCACACGAACGGACGCGCCCGCGTGTGCGTGTGTGCGTGCCGCGCCAGTGCGTACTTGTCGTAGGTGGGCTAGGGTGAGTAGAGTACAGTAGGGTACAGTGGAGTAGCAACACGCACCTTGGCGTGGCGGTTGAGGTTGGTGCGCAGCGTGAAGGTCTGTCCGCAGTGCGTGCACACGAACGGACGCGCCCGCGTGTGCGTGTGTGCGTGCTGCGCCAGTGCGTACTTGTCGTAGGTGGGCTAGGGTGAGTAGAGTACAGTAGGGTACAGTGGAGTAGCAACACGCACCTTGGCGTGGCGGTTGAGGTTGGTGCGCAGCGTGAAGGTCTGTCCGCAGTGCGTGCACACGAACGGACGCGCCCGCGTGTGCGTGTGTGCGTGCCGCGCCAGTGCGTACTTGTCGTAGAACGCGCGCCCGCACACGTCGCACCGCACCGACGGAGACGCGTGACGTAGCTCGTGGATACGTAACTTCGTTTTATTCTAATCCAATGAATGATCAATAAGCATGATGACTAATTTTCAAAATCTATTCTATGCTATTCGGAAAATTTCTATAATATCAAAAATATATCATATTTCAGTAAAAAATAAAGGTTTTCATGCAATCAAATGAAATTTAAATTTGAAGTTTCTATTTCGCGCTAAAACGCTGTTCAATGTCATGGCGTCGGTTACGTCACGGCTCACTAAGCTTCAGTACGTCAACAGTAAACATTAGATGCTTGTTTATTAAATCAAGTTATTTTGCATATTAAATATGAATTCAAAAGTGTGTAAGTGGTGTGTGGTCCCGCAGTTCATTAATACATCTATAAAAACTCCAAACAAGTTAATTTGTTTAAGTCCAAAATAACAAAACAATGAGAAATAAATGGTTGAACTCTTGCACGCCGAGATCCAACAGGTTTAAGTCTAAATATTTCAATTTATTTCTGTGAAGATTATTTTGATGTAAGTTTGTACATATTTCGTAAATTCTACAATGATGTGTGACCTTGATTGAGGTCTAAAATTTTATATGTTCAATATTTTCTGAGATTACAGTTTATCTCTTGAATAACCAGTAATATTTATTTCAATGAGTGCTTTATTCATTTTCCAGTTACCACATGATATGGACAATTATTATGGACAATGGGATTAGTGTCGCAGGTTCGCATGAAACCAGGCTGTATTCTCACAAAATTTGAATGCCAGATAGTTAGGAAAAAACGAACAGCTAATATTATTACAGATAACAGAAAAGATTAATTTCATGTACTATTTACCATAATTTATCAATTCACACAATAGCCATTAAAATAATTGTTTTTTTTTATCATTGAAAGATTACTGGTGGCCCGGAGGCCTTTCGAGCTACACCAGGACAGGTGGGCGAGCAAAGGCTCAGCCAGGAGGGGTGGGATTTGCTAACAACTGCCCGAGCGCCTCCGAAGGAGACCTAACAACTCAAGAGCAATTGCTTCGCGAATGAATCTACTACCGGATCGGAATCGCGACCCACTGAGAAAACCCGGCGAGAAACTCAGCAGCCTGATGCATTAGTTAGGTGGCACGTCGACATCTTTGTCGAGTTCGACGAGTACGGTTACCGGGGTTCCTCAGCCTGCTCCTAGTGTTAGCGCTGAAGGTATCTAATGCAAGAGTTATTGGATTTGATGGATCCGTAAGGACGTGTCTAGGGCGACGACGGTGACTTGCTCCTGCGTGATCAGGATTCGGGGAGTAGTCAGCGGCGGCAACGATAAGGCGATTATCATGACGCATAGCCTTATCGAAGTAACTTTCCGACACTGACTTCATGTGTTTGCGGATCGATTCGAGGCCCAGGTCTTCGTGTAGGTCGACGTTCCTCACGAACCACGGAGCCCCGACAGCTAACCTGCAAAAGCGGAATTGTAGGGATTGAAGGGTGTCTATGTGTGTGCGGGCCGCGTGAGCGAACACCACACTCGCGTAAGTCATGACGGGCTTTATGCAAGTTTTGTAAAGTGTCACCTTGTTCCGAAGGGACATTTTACTCCGCTTACAGATCAAAGGATAGTTAATAATTGTCTGTTAACATACATACCTAATAGTTTACCCCCTTAACATTTGTTATGGAAAAAGTAAATTGTAAAATATGTACTAAATACTTTGTCAGCTTTGTTTGATTCATTGTTTGTAAAAAGAAGTGCAGATTGTATTTACCTAGGTATGTTATTAAGTCCTGCATTTTATTTGTTTCTAATAATTTGCTATTTTTACTTTTTAGTTCTGCATGACAACATATAAGAACATTTAACAGAAAAAATGGCCTCGAGAATGACTGATAAGTCTATTCAAGTATTTATTACTCACAAGTTCAAAAATAAAGCCGTTCAAACAGAAAATAAATTAATAAATCAAATGACATAACCCTTGAAACCTCATACCCATTCTGTTTCTACATCACCATTTAAAGTTACAAGAGGCAATTTCACGTTGCCATGGACATACATAAACCTTCATCAATCAATCGTCACCATCAACAATATCTGTCCAAATTAAATCTATATTAGACTACAGTGAGATGATACAATACGATAGAAAACATGAGGCATCTAAAATTCTGGAATGTACCTTGCTTAAAATTACAAAGAGCCCGCGATCTTACATTGGAGCTCCCAAAAGCTGTGATTACTTCATTGATTTAATAGAAAAACATACTAATATTCCTGCTAACAAGATACTCATGTGTCTAAAGAAAATTACATTAAATAACCCATTTAGAGAGCTTGCTGATGGCTTTTGTGGAAATGGTAAACTACGATTATAAAACGTATTTTAGCGACAGGTAAAGCGAAAACAATAGTTTTTTTTTTGTTAAAATTGCAGTGATCGCGCGTAAGCTCAAACGAAACAAGATAACGTTTACTGAGGCGTGACGTAATTCGCTCTGATTGGTGTTTAAGCTATCATGGCTGATTATTGTATTTAATAGATTTATTTTAACAAATAAATCATAAATCTCGTCATTAATATGAATTAAAAATACATTTTTCAAAATCCTTGAATCCTGTTTCATTAGATCGGTTAAATATTTTGGCGATACTTGACTACTGTCATCATGCCTAACCCTGCAGTTAAGATTAATAATTTTATTTTGTTTTAACCGAAGCAGAAACACTATGCTTTAAGTATCTATTTTTATATAATTAAAATTGCTTTTACGGTTTAATCTCACGTTTATTATTTGCGACGATGTAAATATTTTATAGTTTTCCTTTCTCGGACGACTGGTGTAAATGACTACATTTGAATACTTATTATGAACTAATTACCGTCTAAATCTTTAAAAAAGAATAATTTAAAAACAACGTATTACATACACATGACAAATAGTTACATGTTTCCGCACGAGTAGTATGCAGTTTATCAAAACATATACAGATAATATTATAAAGGCATAGATAAAACTAATCGATATCATAATGACGAATGTTTCTAGTAAAAAAAAAAAAATTCATCAAAGAGTACGAATATACCTGGAATCCCTTACCGCAGACGTCACAGATGGCGGCGATGACGCGTCTATACGAGTCCTTCTCTTCCGGATGTTCCTTATACGTATGCCACCAATGTTCCCGACGGCTACTAACCATTTT